TGGTACATTATCAGCGCAGCAGCAGACGTTCAATCTAATACCACGTAATTTACGTCTCTATGATGATTGGTTGATATCAGAAGGGAGGCTAGCCTCCCTTGGCGAGGTTTCTTTTCTCAACACTCCTCAGCGCTGAAAGTGAACACTCGATGGTGATTGGCTAATTTTTTTTACCAACGGAGGCACGAGAGCTCAGCGCTCACTCGGCCTCCCCCTCCCCTTCTCTATCACCTACACTCTTAAAAATAAAGGTGCTTCAAAAGGTTCTTCAAGCGATGCCATAGAAGAACCATTTTTGTTTCCACAAAGAACCATTCAGTCAAAGGTTCTTTAAAGAACCATCTTTTTATATTCTGAAGAACCTTCTTTCGCCACAAAGAACCTTTTGTGAAACAGAAAGGTTCTTCAGATGTTAAAGGTTCTTTATGGAACCATTTAGACGAAAAGGTTCTTCTATGGCATTGTGAAGCACCTTTATTTTTAAGAGTGTAGCGGTTGTAATTACATCAGCTAATTCGGCACATCCGTGATAGAAAAGCGGCGCTTTCACGTTATGATATTACAACTGAAATTACAAACAAAAAAATACACATTCTGAGACATGAACTGAAATGAATTGTGAATTTTATTAACATTAAATCGTCCTCCTCCCATTTTCACCTCAAAATTATGGGGAAGCTGTGCCTCCCCTGCCTCCCCCGACGAGCCGCCACTACTGTACATGTTCAGTAACACTTTATTTTAAGAACCAATTCTCACTATTAACTAGTTGCTTATTAGAATGCATAATACTAGCATATTAGATGTTTTATAAAGCACATATTAAAGGGTTAGTTCACCCAAAAAAGAAAATTAGGCTGCGCTTTACTCACCCCCGAGGCATCCTAGGTGTATATGACTTTCTTCTTTCAGACTAATCCAGTTGGAGTTATATAAAAAATTGTCTTTGATCTTTCAAGCTGTTTAATGCCACTCAGTGGGTGTTGCATTGCTTCAGTCCAAAAGAACTTAAATAAAAATCACCCATCCATAAAAAAAAGTGTCTCACACGGCTCCGGGGGGTGAAAAAAGGCCTTCTGTAGCGAATCGATGCGTTTTTGTAAGAAAAATAACCATATTTAAAACGTAATAATCAC